CCATGCATGATTTGAGAGCTCTTATTTAAGGTCTCGAGTGAGAAATGAGGTTTTGAGGTCCTTCAAAGCATGCAAGTTCATAAAGTTTCCAACTTTATGACCTAGGATGTTAAGATGTGCTCTGATCTGACTTTAGGACGTGGATCTATCGAGAAATAAGCACTTAATGGAAAAAGTGCTTAATCTGTTCCTACGTTGGGCGTAGCTTAGAGAACGTCGCACGTAATGTGCAAAAGCCTAGTACGCTGCGCATACCATGGTGGTACACATGACGTACGCACCTCCGATGGACTTGGACTTGTTTTGGGGCCATAAGCCTTTTGGGCCTTAATCTATCTTTGGGGCCTGACCATATTTCAAGTAATGAATCAACTAATTAGTCTTGGACTGGAAATATTATAGTTGGACCTTGATGGGCCATGTGGCCCATTAATAAATTTTGAGCATGGACTTTGGGGCCCATTAGCCAAGGAAGTCTTTTGGGCCATTAGGAAGGTACTTTGGGGTTGAGTTTTCAGTTAGCCATGATCAAACCCTAATCTTGGGTTAATATTGTTATTGTACAGTACTAGTGGTTTTGGTCTATTAAGAGAGCAGCTATATTTATTCAGCAGTTAGAGGTGAGTCTTATAACCGTACTTATGGGTCTACGGCACCAAGGTCGGCCCATTATGTGATCATGTTATGTGTGTGTTATTCATTTATGAATTGATATGTTATGTGATATTATGTTGGTATGGAAGACCCCAGGGGGAGCCCGTGCTATTGGATATTAGACCATGTGGGGTAGCCCATGGCATTCCTAGGAAAAGACCATGTGGGGTAGCCCACATCATTCCTAGGAAAAGACCATGTAGGGTAGCCCATAACAATCATAGGTAAAGACCATGTGGGGTAGCCCACGACATTCTTGTTGGGTTATATTGCATGGTTTCTATGACATGTTATAGATTTATTAGCTAACAAGATATGTGTATGTGAATGTGTGTGGTATGCTCTGGGAAACTCACTAAGCATTTCGTTTACAGGTTGTTGATTTGTTTCAGGTACTTCTGAGCCCAAGGGAGAGGGCAAGGCGTGATGACGTGGCACACACTCTATCTCTCTCTCTCTCTCTTTTAATGTAATTGGGACCGCCTGATGTTTTAAAAGGGAAAACAATGATGTCATGAATGTTATTTGAAAACATATGTTTGGAAAACTATGGTTTATGAGACTGGTTTTAATTAACTCAAAAATGAAAATTTTTCTTGGTAAAATTGGGTCGTTACATAATACCATCCTATCTGCCAGGATACCAATCTAACAGATCATACTACATACTACATAATATTATCCTACCTACTAGGATACCAATCTAACAGATCATATTAGCATAACATAACTAGGTAACAATCCAAAGGGCCGGCCTTAGTGCCTTAGACCCTTGAGTATAGTGATGATAACTCACCTCACAATGTCGAGCTGAAGGGATAAGCTCAAATTCACGAATCATGATCCCGCACTTTACCACCTAATACAATAAGGCAAAATCATAAATCTCAAATTTACCAAAATGTTCCCGAAATCACTAGTTAACCAATAAGCATAGTCACGGTCAACAATCCAGGTCATCCGTCAATGTTGACCTAACTCGTCGAGTTCATCTACTGACCCGACGAGTCCTTTCAACACTCGGATAGTTGCAAAACCCCCCCACTGGCCACTCGAGTTCCCTACAACTCGCCGAGCTTAAGCGTGACCTCAGTCGGGGAAAACCCTAGCTGACTCACCGAGCTATTTTACTTGACTCGCCGAGTCACCGCCAATCTTCATCGGGCTAGCCAAGTTCTTTTAGTTCTTAATCCAAACAGATGCTTCTGATCCATGTTAAGTTTCCATATTGCAGATCCAAGTCCCCAATACATGTTTATTACGTAAAGTTGCAAACTTTACGTGCATGCAAGGTCTTATTGGGCCAAACTAAGCTAAAGAAGGAACATTAGGCAAGTAAAAGACCATGGCTTGGCCCATGCTTCAACTTTATGATAATGGAAAGCTAAAGGAACCCAGATATGAAGTTGCAACCTCGGATCTTGCCCCAAACCAAAATGCCAACATGAAACCCTAAAAAGGACCCTAAACCCAAGATGAAAATATCTAGATGGAGGAGAGTCAAAGAAACGACATCTTACCCACAATGAGATGCTAGGATGAGATAGAACCCAGATCTACAACCTCTCCTTGCTCCACTCTTCTTGATTTCCAAGCCTTTTCACCAAGATCTTCCTTTCAAGCTTAAAATCACTCAAATTGGAGAGTATACACGAATTAGGGTTTTCAGGACTTGAGGGAGGCTGTAAGGGACTAGGAGGCTCTATTGATCCCTTAAATAGGGTGCACAAACCCGAAAATTAGAGCTTCATCTGCCAGCTCGTACTCATCGAGTTCCTCTTCCGGCTTGACGAGTCGGTCACTTAACACGTGGCCCAAACCCGCTGCTACTCGACGAGTCAGGGCATCTGACTCATCAAGTAGACCTTAAAACTTGATGGTTTATACAGTAATATTAATACCTAGGAATCGAGGCGTTACAGTTTTAAGAATTATCCATGTTGATAAACAACATTTGTATAGAGGAAGGGGAAAAGGAGATTGTTATCAATTATATTGGCAATATATGACTTCAACATGATCTTTATGTTTATAGTGGTCGGATGGGAAGGAGTAGCACATGATTTAAGAATTTTATCTGAAGCATTAGCAAAACTAGATGCATTATTCTTGTTTCCACCATCAGCTATGTTCATGTTTATAAAATATCTCTACTTTATTTTAAACATTAATTATCTGATTATCTAAACAAATAAAATTATCTAAATAGATAAATATTGTCTTTGTGATTTTGTGTATACACATATCCGAATATTTATGGCTTGGTGTCGTAATGTAAGGTATTGCCTAGTAAAGACATGCATCGAACAACAAAGAGAATGGTTCCATTTATGTTGGTTAACCAATGAAACATTATCATTACATGTTTTGCATTTTATAATTTTATACGAAAAGATAGCTTAAGTGATGAGTATTTATATAATTACGATCAACTCGATATGCCACTTGCAAATAACCATGTATAAGATGATGATGAGGATGACAACATTCAAACAAATGAAAGTGCAGTGTAATGAAAATATGCTTTATTTATGAGATCAAGTTGCTAACTAGTTAATACAAAATATATAATAGTTCAAGTATGTTTGTTATGTCCATAAGTCTGTTGTTGCAATTTACTTTCCATGTTGTCCTTTTCAGGCCACTTCTCCCTTCAGCACAAGGTAGCTATATAATGGCTTCATATCAGCCACACTCCTAAGGAATTACGAGGAGGAATATAGGGAAAAGTTATTTATTTTTTGTCTCACCTTGAAATTGAACATGAATTTATCTATCACCACGAAGATGCCATCTGGAAAACCAAAAACCTAAGAAGCGAGCGACTTAGAGTTGTCCAAAGTACAGATTAAACAAATGTGGTCATAGTATTAATACCTGTAAGCATTATTTACTATTTTTATTTTGAGGTTTGACCATCTCATGAAAGTATTGAAGTGATTTGACTTTTTCACCATATGTGCATCATGTTGTAAGTAACATAATAATATAATTATATAAGAATAATCATATGTTATTTTTCTAAGTAAGGTGATTTAATATGATTTATAAATGTTTTGTGTTGACTTTTCTGTTTGTAGCAACACCTGCATGCACACCTTGTTTGGTTGTTATTAGGTATCTTGATGCCAATGGCTAATCTAAAGGATTAGAATCCAAGAAGAATACTCGGTACATGTGTAAATAAAAATTTTGAAATGTAACATCAATTTTAAAGAAGTCAAAATCATATGTGCTTTTAATGAGTTCTGATCCATCAATCAATGGTGCAATGTTATGATCTAAGGTGAGTTAGTTTGATGTTTGTGTCTTTTCTCTATGTTACTTATGGTTACTTTTTCTGTAAATAAGATAATTTATGCAAACAAAAATTGTTATTAGCTCCAATATACTAACTCTTAGTTTTTAAAAAGGAAATATAAAAGTTAGAAATATGTTTAGCTTTTTTTGCTCATATTTGTATAACTTAGTTGTCTATTTAAAAAAAGATAAGTTTTTAACCAATTTTGACCCTAAAATTTTGTTGGAATCTTTTAAGGAATCTCCGTTTGTGCATCATGTTGTAAGTAACATAATAATATAATAACAATATGATTACAGGTGTATATTATTATACAAGAATAATCATATGCTATTTTTCTAAGTAAGGTGATTTAATATGATTTATAAATGTTTTGTGTTGTCTTTTCTGTTTGTAGCAACACCTACATGCACACCTTGTTTGGTTGTTTATAGGTATCTTGATGCAAATGGCTAATCCAAAGGATTATAATCTAAGAAGAATACTCGGTACACGTGTAAATAAAACCTTTGCAATGTAACATAAATTTTAAAGAAGTCAAAATCATATGTGCTTTTAATGAGTTTTAATAAATCAATCAATGGTGCAATGTTATGATCTAAAGTGAATTAGTTTTATGGTCACTTTTTCTGTAAATAAAATAAGTTATGCAAATAAACATTGTTATTACCTCCAATATACTAACTCTTAGTTTTTAAAAAGGAAATATAAAAGTTAGAAACATGTTTAGCTTTTTTTGCTCCTATTTGTATAGCTTAATTGTCTATTTAAAAAAGATAAGTTTTTAACCACTTTTGATCCTAAAATTTGTGTTGGCATCTTTTATGGAATCTACATTTATTCATCAATGAAGCATTCAAGAACCATATAACTACTAATTAAAATAAAATATATATACATATAGCTTAGAGTTCATCATTCTAAAATGACATCAGAAAATATAAAAACATAATACGATAGGAAATTATCAAAGATTAACACTTCTACTTTGATTTTATGGAGAAAACTATTGGGATGAAATATAATTAACGCTTCTAATTTGACTTCATGGAGAAAATTGCGGGAGGAAATTTTCATTGAATGACCGTTCTCCAGGTTGTGTCATCATCATAGGTCCACTTCCTACATGCCAAATAGAAGAGTTATGGTGGATTTATTTTTAAAACATTAATCGGTATATTTGTGCAAATAAAATAAAGGAAGTGTAACAAGCATATATACCAGAGGGATAGAATTGTGTCCATGGAGATAAATTCATATCAATAACCTGTCCAAACTCAGATCGTTGAACATTCACATTGGTATCATTCTCAATCACATTAGCTCGGTTTGCATTCTCATTTTGTCTGCATAGAATGGTTAAAAAGAATAAATTTTCTTAAAACATTCAACATTGTTAAAGTTCATAACAAGTTATACATATATTTACAATCACCTATGAGGATGAATCCCATTGAAGTTCATAAAATTCATGATTTGCACTTGAGGTTCTCTAGGTGGAAGCCAGTCAAACATGTTGATTGTGTTTGTAGTAACCATGTTATTAATGTTTATGCCCTACAAAACCGAGAAACAAATTCAACAAATTATATATACATATATATATATATATATATATATATATATATATATATCATTTTAGTTTTATTCCTTTTATCTTTCAAAGTTGTGTAAACATACCTGTGTAGTAGATTCTGCATCTGCAGAGTTATATTTTTCAGCTAGAACTTGCTAGTTAATTGAAACAGAAAGATTAAATTAGTTTTATATTCATTATATATATATATATATATATATATATATATATATATATATATATATATATATATGTATATAAACACGCATTTGAATCAACATAATATGATCATGTTATGTACACATGTACCTTGCGAAGACGGACACGTTTCAGAGTCTCCTGAAGAACTTGTTCTCGATACTCAGCTTCACACAACGCTGTAATTTCAGAAGGATCCCCTTCAAACATCCTACACACATACAACATACGAAATATTTAGCCATTAAACTTTTAACAAAGTTACATGATAATTACACTAATAACATGTGTTGTTTTTGTATAATTGAGTTATAAACAAGATAAATTTAATTATGTATAAGTTACATAAATTTATTTTCTAGTAATGTAAATTGTATATTGATTTGAGTTACATAAGAATTAATCGATATCACATTATCATGAGATAACTTCAAATAACTTAAAGATATTTACCTGAGACGCTTTTCCATTTCTATCATTTGGGACTTGCATCGGATGATTTCTTTTTGAATTCCCTGTAACAAAGTAATATACAATTATAAAATTGTAATGATTCCTGGTTGGTTATGAAACAACCAAAAATCTCTATAAAACAGATTGGCTACAATATGATGTACCTCAAATTGTGAGTCTGCATTTGATAGGCTACTTCTGATATCAAAATAAATAAATTAGTAAAGTTGTAAGCTTTAGTAAAGAAAATCAACATCGTTAATTTTGAAATACATAGAACAAAAGAAGTATATAAGGAAAATATAAGTAATAAGAATGATGTATTCAATTGTGATTTTAGAAACAAAGGAAAACCTGGCTTGGTTTTGAATACGGTGATCTTGTGCTTCTCTTCTCAACTTTCCTAAAGCCTTTTCCAGGTACTGCTTTAAATATAGATCGAATTAGCTCATTTGATCGAAAGTTTATAGTTTTTTATTTACTACTCCATACCATCATATTACTATAGTAGTATGATAAATTTGTGACAACCAAATGAGTAAAAATATATACCTCTTGGTTCTGCAACCTTCAGATAGTTTTTGATGCATCAATATGGATCCAAATTAGATTACAAGCAAAACAAAGTGCACATACACAAATAGTAGAAAAAGTTAAAATCCAAAAAAGAATCATTCATACCAAAAAAAATTATGGAAAAAATTGATTAAAACATTGACACTACTTAATGCATACCTTCCTCTTTCATGATCGGGAAGATTTATGTATCGGGCCATAATTTCTTCGATACTATCCAACACCCAAACAAGAATTTTAGGAAAATAATCAATGGGTGGTTAGAATAAATCTCCAAAACAAAACAAAAAATATGATCAAAATGGGATTTATTTTGCATTAAAGGTTGATCTTTTTACCTTTTACTTCCAGAGAAAATGCTAGCTCTTCCGGAGGGAGAAAACATGATGAGAGCAACATCCACATCACATAGAACAGATAGCTCATAAGCTTTCTTAATCAACCCATTTCTTCTTTTTGAGAAAGTAACTTGCCTATTTGTTGAATTTTCTATTTTCTTGATCTGTAGTTTTACTCTCCCCATTGTTTATTCATAGAATGATCAATTTCTTCTGATAATGTGTGTAGTTGAGAAGAATTAAGAAAGGAAGAGGTGAAGTAATGAGGAAGGTGATGAATGTGAAGAGATTTATGCAATGGAGTTTTGTCACTACTAGGCAAGGTGACATATGAGAGAGATAGTGGTGGCGGTGTTCGTTGGTGTCACCTAGCGAAAATATATACTAAAATATTCAATATTAGTTACTAAGCATGAAAAGCAAGCCATGTTCGTAGATCGCGTTCCGAACGCGTGACCAAATTTGTAGTGGTCCATGAATCGAATCTTAAAAGTCATGGTTTGCGGGCTTGCACACCATAAATTCATGAACTTTGTATAAGATTCATGCTTTTCATACGGGCACAAATTTTAAACTAGAAATGAGAGTATTAGATATAAATTTACTGTATATTGCATTGTAACTTTGGAATTTAGTCATCAAAGGTAATTTATATTGAATGTATAGACTTTTAGGATAATTTTTCAATAGAAATTACTTCATATATAAATGGAATCAAACTTAACATTTATAAATGAGATAAGTTGGTTTATTAAGTTCCATTTAAACTATATTAAACTTTATATGAAGAGTAAGAACACCTAAAAGGTAAGGGCGAAATTATATATATATATATATATATATATATATATATATATATATATATATATATATATAGTGTAACATACACGCTATCGTGTTATATAATTTTAAAAAATGAATAATATCATGAAATATTATATGAATTTGAGCAATGAGTTCTAACAAATAGTTTCTATTAGAATTAAAGTAAAACTATGTTTAGAATCATTTGGAAAGTATTGGAAGTGTTATGAGATTCCAATCAAATATATGTTATTAAAATTAAGTAAAATTATATTATTGAAAGTTGTAAAGAATCTCGTTAGAAACATTTAGGCGAAAAGCTCATCGAAATTTGAGTTATAACGAAGAAGTTATGACTTATTGAAGTTTCACGACAGAACCGGCACAACGCCGTATGACGTAAAAAGAGAGTTTTCGACAAACTACTTTTTAGCCATTTATGATCTAAATGAAAGTTGTAGTATTCGTTAAACCGGAAACTTTCATAAAAAGAACGTCAAAATCTGACTTCATATGAGCAATTATGATTTTTCTAAGATTCGGTATAGCAGTAGATATCTAAAAATTCGAAATAACGATCGAGTTATTTTTATCCGAGACAACTTAAACGAAAATTGAATGTCTCGTAAATAGCAGTACAACGATAAAAAGATAGACAAAAACAAACATCAGATGAAAAAGTTATGAATTTTTAACGCTTTTATCCTGTCCCGGCCTGTTAAAAGTATAACTTTAAAAATAAAGTCAAAATTATTCGACAGTCTAAACGAAAGTTGTAGAGAATAGTCTCACCTACACGTGGATATAAAGAACGTCAAAAAAATAGCTCGTATGCGAAAGTTATGAATTTTTGAAGTTTGGAAATTGGGAGTACGCCCAGTGTACTCATATACGCAGTCTGAAATGAGCCACGTCAACCCCTCTCCGCACACAACACGTATCAAGCGAAGTTGACACATCTGATGCCACGCGTCAGGGTACACCCAACGTACTAGGCTGTACGCCCCGCGTAGTGACCAATTGAGCAGTACGCCCAGTGTACTTGGCTTTTACGCCCAACATAACCCGATGTTCAGCCGCTATAAATAGTAATAGAGGGCTTACGGGTTTTTGTTTACAAACCAAATTCTCTCTCACTCTCTACTCTCTTTTAAGACACTTTTAACCCCCCCCCCCCCCCGAAGTCTCGGTATCATCCCCGACACCCGAAGCAAGTCCCGACACTCCAAAGTTCCCGAGAAAATCATATTTTCAAGTCGAAACTTTGCTCGTGCAAGGTCCGGTTTTCGATAAAAAACCCTGATTTCGTCACAAAAAGTCATTTATAAAGCCGAAGTGTTGTCCAAATTAATACTTCAACCCCAGTTATTTCACGGTGAGTTCAATATATAGGAACAAGTGTATGTTATGTTCAATGTGCTTTTCTGTTTTATTCTGGTTTTATACCTTTGGCTATGTAAAGCATGATTTGTATGCTAATAGAATACTAACAGAGCTATACCTTTGACTTGAAGTGTATGACATAAGCATCACTTGGGTATTGGTATGTACCGTTAACCATGAAGTGTATGATATATGCATCACTTTGGCAACGACGGTATGCTAAGATAGGGCTATGTAGCCTTTGGCCATGTAGAGCATGTCTCATAAGAGAATGAATTCTATTCTATGGAATTGGCAAAAAGTTAGATAGGGCTGAAAGCCTGAAATCTACCAAAATCTTTAATCAGAAATTGTATGTCTTCTGTGCCATTTGGGCCGAAGCGTTATTGATATATATATATATATATATATATATATATATATATATATATATATATATATATATATATATATATATAGTATTGAAATTGTTATGTCTCTTTGATTGTATTTCATGGAATCAAATCATCAATTGATATGGAAAGCTTATCGCATGATTCACATATGCTTTTGTTGTTTCATGTTCCTCCTTGCTTCTGCCATATTGAAGTATATATATGGCATAACGTTATATTGTATCTATTATTGAACTCACTAAGTGTCACCGCTTATCCCCCCTCAAAGTTTAATCTTTGCAGGTAATACGGAACCAATATAGACATATATTGTTAGAATATTTTGAATAGTTTTAAAACTAGTACTTTTGTATTTAGTACTCATGTATGTATAAAACTATAGTATCCTGGGTAGTTATGTAATATATAACACTTTGTAATAGTCAGTTTGTATCCAGTCAATTGTAATCAAACTATCAATGTAAAATATTGTTTATAAATATGCATGTAGCATTTTTTGGAGTAACAATGTCTTTAGTATGAAAGTTTTGGGTCTTTCATATATATATATATATATATATATATATATATATATATATATATATATATATATATATATAGGGGGGGGGGGTGGGGGAAGGGAGGTGCTATTTCCACTTTTGTTTTTGATCCATCCACTTAAAAAATATGTTTTGACTTTTATACCCTCATTATGATTCTATCTTTCTAATTTAAATGAACGGTAAAAAAGTCAAAACACTTTGTTTTCAAGTGGACGAATAATTAACATGATTGGAAATGTCTCCTCCCATCTATATATGGTGGGCCTTGAAACTTTTAATGGAACAAAATTTATGTTCTTTTGAATTTGGGTCTATTTTCACCTCTTTAATCATTATCTAATTTGTCTATGAAGGACTCGATTAAGTCTTCAATATGTTATGCATAACATTTGGTTTGAGATTAATCCCAGCAAACCATACGTAAGGAAACAAAACCCAAAGTTTAAAAAAATTGTTAGCTACTAGCAAGTTATTTTATTTAACTCATAAATTAACTACCCGCACCACTACAAAAATAGATTGGATCTATGTTTTCTCTATTATGCATGCAAATATCAATTTCCAAAGTATTGTTCTAACTAGCATAACATGAAGTACATATAATAGAACTTCTAGTAAAATTACATAGCTCTTTGTTGTAGCTTGATTCCATGGAGCTTAAGAGCCTAGTGCCTCAAATGTGACACCTCAAATGGTTTACACAACATCACCAATATCACCAACATCTTGGAATAACTTGAGAGATAAAGGTTCCTATGCTCAAATCGGCTAGCCCTCATGTGTACACACATGCACAAATCCCAATTTCTTGAGCCATGGGGTCCTTATATATCGTGGCTATTAGGTTTACACCATGTAACTCATGTATATCCATATTCTTCATGCTCCATGGGTTAAAACCTCCACGGAGTATCCATGAGTTACTCCATGGGTTTAGCCCAACATGAAGAACTATGGATCATAAAGTTAATTCCATATATTTACACAATGAGTGATTTACACAATCAATCCTCATATATTTAATTAGTCTTCTTTTGATCACAAAGTTAATTCCAAATTAATTCTTGATCAATACTAATTAAATAATATGATTTCATATTAATATATTAGAACTTATAATATATTAACAAATCATTAATATCCTTTTCTCACAAAAGTCTATCCAAATTGTTCTGATGCCATGCAACCCAAATGAACCATGCCAAGTCGGGTCAAGTACATACCAATTATAGTTATGGGATTAAACACTAATCCAACAGTCTCCCACGTGGATAAGTCAAAAAATATTATTGTGTATGACTCCAAAACCCGACTAGAAATCATAGCTCTTAAAATCCAATGTCGAACTCTGAACAAATCCATGACGCGTCCATTAGATAAGAGATCATATATTCCTCCATTATAGATATCATATGGACTGAGACATGGATTATAATCATTCTCTTTGTCCATTTGTTGTTTCCTGATTTCCGATTTATGATGAACGACTAATTGAACAAATCCAATCAGTGTAGGCTTGGCCAAGCACTTCGGGGTGTCATCACTAAATCATCGAGGGGCCCATAAATATCACTTTTATCCCTTCAAGGGTAAAAGGAATGGATAAAATTCGAATCAGATGCTTTTATTGCTACCTGATGATGTTGGATTAGTGTCTAAGCCCGTAACCATATTTGGTAAGTACTTGACCCGATTGTGCATGGTCCTTTTAGGTTGCCTTCACCAAAGCAACATCATAGGATGATTTATTAAGAAAGAGGTTATTATAATTTATTAAGAAAGAGGTTATTATGATGTATTAATATGTTAATTGAATAATATTTTAATGGAGAAATCATATAAATAAATTAATATTAGATAAGAATTAATTAAGAAATTAATTATGTGTTTACAAGACATTAATTTAATATCAGGGACTTAAACTATCAAATGTGTGATAGTTGAATATTAGGCTGAGGAGCCTCTTGGACTAGGCATGGACGAAATTGGGATATGTCCATCCCTAATTTCGGCCATAAGGCCTTATTCTAGAAGCCTCCTTGGATAGCTTAAGGCCTAAGCTGTCAATTATGGTTTTTGACTGAAACCCTAACAGCTCCATTATAAATAGGCTACATAAATCGGCTACCCTAACCCTATAGAGATAGAGTCGAATTCAAGAAGCCTCCAGCCTCTTTCCAAAATCATTCGTTTTCTATTGGTGTTTGTAAGCCAT